AAAAAAAAAAAAAAAAAATATATATATATATATATATATATATATATATATATATATATATATATATATATATATATATATATATATATATTTTTTTTTTTTTTTTTTTTTTTCATATGATTAATAAATAAAGGGCTGGTTCGCCCACACATTAAGTTACTCACAATAAAAGGGTTCTTTATTCCGTTTAACACAAAATAAGATATTTGGAAAAATGTTACAAACTGGTAACCCCTGACTTCCATAGTAAGAAAAAATCAATGGTTACAGGTTTCCACCATTCTTCAAAATAGCTTCATATTTCGTTCATCAAAAGAAAGAAACTCAAAGGTGTGGAACAAGTAAAGAGTGAGTAAACGATGACACAATCCCCAGTTTTGGGTGAACTGAGTTTTTGAAGTTCAAAAATTTTCATATTACTTCATAAGTTTTCACTACATTTAATTTTCTATGCATGTAAAATCCACTTTGTACATTAAATTGGATGCAGCCGCCAACATGGGATGTCTGATCTTTTTTGACCCTGATATATGTTTATTAACGCTTGCTATATACAGTTTAAGTCAGAAATATTGGCCCCCCTGAATTATTAGACCGCATTTTTTTTTTTTTTTCCCAATTTCTGTTTAACGGAGAGAAGAATTTTTCAACATACTTCTAAACATTATAGTTTTAATAATTCATTTCTAATAACTGATTTATTTTATCTTTGCCATGATGACAGTAAATAATATTTGACTAGATATTTTTAAAGACACTTCTATACAGCTTAAAGTGACATTTAAAGGCTTAACTAGGTTAATTAGGCAGGTTAGGGTAATTAGGCAAGCTATTGCATAATGATGGTTTGTTCTGTAGACTATCGAAAAGGCTTATTGCAAAATGGATTGAATTCATTTATTTCCTCAACATTCTACACACAATACACCATAATGACAATGTGGAAAAAAAGAGTTTTTGAAATAGTTGCAAAATTATTATAAATAAAAAACCTGAAAAATCACATGTAAATCAGTATTCACAGCCTTTGCTCAATACTTTGTTGATTTGGCAGCCATTACAGCCTCAAGTCTTTTTGAATATGATGCCACAAGCTTGGCACACCTGTCTTTGGGAAGTTTTGCTCATTCTTCTTTGCAGTACCTCTCAAGCTCCATCAGGTTGGATAGGAAGCGACGGTGTACAGCCATTTTCAGATCTCTCCAGAGATGTTCAATAGGATTTAGGTCTGGCCCCTGGCTGGGCCACTCAAGGACATTCACTGAGTTGTTGTGAAGCCACTCCATTAATATTTTGGTGGTGTACTTTGGATCTTTGTCCTGCTGGAAGATGAACCATCGCTAGTTATTAAACTATTGTGATTAGAAATGTAAAATGAAATGTAAAACAGAAATGGGGGGAAAAAAAAATAAACAGGGGGTCTAATATTTTAGGGTAGCTAATAATTTATGACTTCAACATATATTTTATGTGGGATCTGTAA